AACTAATTCATTTTCTGGCACCATTCCATTGAATTTTGACCAAAAGTTTCCAAAATTGGAATTCCTTTATCTTGCTGAAAATCATTTGCATGGCACCATTCCACCTTCCATTTGCAACATGAAACACTTGTGTACCCTTTCTCTGAGAAACAACAAGCTATCAGGAGAATTTCCAAAAGCATGGAGCCTGTTGCGTAATATAATGATTGTAGATGTTGCATACAACAATCTCTCAGGCAATCTTCCCAGTTCAATGGGTGACTCATGTTCTCTTTTCATGTTGAAGATGAACAACAACAATTTCGAGGGTGAAATTCCTTTTTCCTTGCAAACCTGCACTTCTTTGAGGAACATTGATCTTGGGAATAATAGATTCACTGGTGAAATACCTCCATGGATAGGATCAACTGCTTTCTTGGTGTCAACCCTAAGGCTGAGATCCAATTTTTTAAGTGGACATATCCCACAACAGTTGTGCAATCTTGGCTACCTTCACATCCTAGACCTTGCTCACAACAGCTTTTCCGGAACAATCCCCAAGTGTTTGAAGAATCTCACTAGTCTCAGAATCTTTAATAACAGTTTTTATAATATATATATAGGGTATGACGAACAAACAACAGTGATGAGAGGAAGAGAACTCCAATTAAACACTTCTCTAGTGTATGTAAAAAGCATTGATCTTTCATCAAATAGGTTCGAAGGTGAAATCCCTCAAGAAATATGCAGTCTCATTCTATTGTTGAACTTGAACTTGTCGATGAATCGATTAAGTGGAAGCATTCCCACAGAGATTGGAAACTTGTCGCAGCTCGAGACTCTTGATCTCTCACTCAACCACCTTTCAGGACGGATTCCTCAAAGTCTTTCATCCTTGACCTTCTTGTCTAACTTGAACTTGTCCTATAACAACTTGAGTGGTGAAATTCCTTTGGGAAACCAACTTCAAGCACTCCCTGATTCATCCATTTATGAGGGCAACCCATTCCTTTGTGGATTTCCTCTTTCAATCAAGTGCTTCGAAGATGGCAATTCTACTCCCAAGGATCCAAAAGACAATGACAATGAAGATGGAAATGAGAAGTTCTGGTTCTATGTGAGTATGGCACTCGGTTTTATCGTAGGCTTTTGGGGTGTTTTTGGCACATTAATTGTGAAGAAGTCATGGAGGTACGCTTATTTTCGATGGTTTGATGAAATCAAAGATAAGGCAACGCTATGTGTGCGTCGTTTGGTTTGCCAAGAGTGATTTTCAAAAGGGATTGTATATGCAAGTCATCTCAGCTATTGCATGGACAAATGAAGACCATTTCTATTTTGGTAGTATTATTGATGATATAAAAACCCTGGTTACAAATCAGAATGGGTTTAGTTTTTTTGTTTACTAGGTGTCAAGCCAATGAGGTAGCGCACCGTGTTGCGCGGAGTGCATTGTCTTATGATTCTAAAGCATCTAATCCCTAATTGATAATTCATTATTCATGGAAGCAACAACTCCAAAATATTATCACAACAACAATAACATGTTAAAGATTAGCTTATTTTCTTCCCTTTCTCAATATTGAATGAGTAGCTGCCTTATATTTAAAGAACTCCCAAATTCTCTAGGCCTTACATTGAATGAATATACATGTACAGACATGAAGTTCAAAACTTTTCATGTACACATGTTCACTGTTCCATGTCATGTTTCATGAAAGTATTTTTATTAATTCGATCATCTGCCATGTTTGTGTGGTGGGCTCCACACTCTTCCTCTGCAAATGCCATGATTGTTTTTGGCAATGTCATAGCTACAAACACATGCAACACCACTAACGACTCCCACAAAGTGATGAAATTTCCATCATTACTAGCTAGCTTAGCTACTCTAGTAGTCTTTTAGAATTCCACTTCAATATCCATCCAACGGTCAATATTTGTCTCCTCACTTGTCTTTTGATATGTTAGGCCTAAACCCACAAATTAAAGAAGCTTCAAGCTGCTGTGTGTGGAAGGAATATATATCACATCATTATTTGTCATTTGATTTGAAGTTGATGAAAATATATTCAACCACACGTAGAGTCAAAAGCATAATGAAGATGTTCTATATATAATTCTCTCTCTCTCACTCTCTCTCTCATCCTCTTTTTTTTTTTTTTTTTTCCATACATGATATTCAGGCTCGGAGACCAGAAGATTGTTAATGGATCACACGGAGTCCTGTGTTCCACCAGGCTTTAGATTTCACCCGACAGAAGAAGAACTTGTGGGTTACTACCTGAAAAGAAAGATCAACTCACTACAAATTGATCTAGACGTCATTATTGACATTGACCTGTACAAAATTGAACCATGGGACATACAAGGTACATACATATATATATATATACACATGAAGATCGAATTAAATTTGATATTTGACCTCGATCGATGGATATGGCACAAATTAAATATATATGGATATACCAGACTTAAACAGTAACCATATAATTAAATACATAGAAGCATGGCTAGCATATGCCCAACTAACCACTCTCTCCGAAATGGAATTACAATTTGAGCAGCCAAATGGTAGACTACGTACAGTTTAGTCAAGAAACTGCATTATCTGCCAAATGGTAGGTCTCTCACGTTCTTTGTAATTTCAAGGTATAGTACAGAGAGAGAGACAGAGTGCATAAAGTAATCGTTGATGACAATGACAGCCATCTACTGATTGGATTGGATTTTCAAACTTGCAAAATGGGTTTGATTTTTATGTGCTAGCTCCTTTGACAATAGTCTCTACATTGGGTGGCTTCAACAATTTTATTACGTGAGACTTTTGATACCGATTTAATATTTTATTTAATTAATTCCTCTTTTGTGTTTTTTTTTAAAATATTCATTTGAACAAATATTTTGTTAAATAAAAACAAGATGAATACATACGTACGAAGATAAACAAATACATATTCCTTCACGTGGGGGACTTTTGGTTATATTATTTGATTTAAACCCTTCTTTTGTATTTCTCCTTTTGTTTATATTATTATCTTTTGGTAATAATATATTATTTAAACTCTTCTTTTAGTAATAATTGAAATATTGCTTCTTATTTTTTCTTAGTTGGATAATTTTTTTTTATTGTTAATTCTTGACTTGGTTGAGAGCACATTATTTTAATATTACCATTGGTATTATTGAACAAAATTATTTACACAAAAAAAAAAGATATGGTATTGATTATTCCCAACGACATTAATTAATTAATTATTAGTGTTTGATTTAAAAGAAAAAGAAACGTGAAATTTTGCATTAATTAAATTGTTGAAAAGTTTAATTTGAAGAGAGTAATGTCGGCCACTCCTTATAGTCTTCCCATTTACAATTAGCTATGATTGACTTGAGTCCGGGTCAATGGTTATTACTCAATCTAGTACACATGGCTAGAATTGCAAATAACTTGTAAAATGGGTTGAAGATATGAAATCTTATCTGGACGGCATGATTTCAATAATTCTTTGCACTCTCCTTTGCCTCCTATAAATTCAATTATTCTGCTCAGAAGCCAACTCCACCAAAGCAAAGAAAACTTGCACCATAATGGCTAGCTTTACAAATTACTTATTCAGTCCTACATATCACCTCAGCATTGCTCATTATTTCCTCATCTTCTTTTTGGCCTCCTCATATCCACACACTAGTAAACTTCATTTTGGTGATGCACTTCCAAATTCGAAACCATGCATCGACGAGGAGAGACGCGCTCTCCTCGCCTTCAAACAAGATCTCACTGATCCTTATGGGAGGCTTTCTTCTTGGGTTGGTCAAGCTTGCTGTCAATGGAAAGGCATTTCATGCAACAACATCACAGGTCATGTTGAAAAGATTGATCTCCAAAATACATACACATACACACTTTCTGATTTCGATAGAGAGTGGGATGAGATGGAGATCTCTTCTTTGGGTGGTAAGATAAATCCTTCTTTGCTTAGCTTGAAACATTTGAGCTACCTAGATCTAAGTATGAATGATTTTCAAGGGATTCTCATTCCCACATTCTTTGGTCAGCTCAAAAGTTTGAGGTATCTCAATATCTCACATGCTTCATTTGGAGGAGAGATTCCAGCTCATCTTGGTAATCTATCAAACTTGAACTATCTTGACCTAAGTGAAGAGTCTGACCACTGTTTACTTGAACTACCTTCCAACAGCTTGAAATGGCTTTCCAATCTCTCTTCCCTAAAATACCTCAGTCTTGAAGGAGTGGACCTCAGCAACACTGGGGTAAGTTTGGTAATTGCTTTTAACAAGTTTCCTTCCCTACTAGAGTTGCACCTACCCGCATGCCAAATTAAAAGCCTTCCAATCTCACTAGGAAATGTTAACTTCACATCACTTTTGATCCTTGACATGTCATATAATGATTTGAAGTTTCCACTTCCTGAATGGTTTTTTTATCTGACTGGCCTCAGAAAACTTGATCTAAGAGGTAATTTTTTGGGTGGTCCAGTTCCCAGTGAATTTCAAAGCCTCAAATCACTAGAAGCTCTTGATTTGTCTTTTAATGATCTTGAAGGTCAAATTCCCCAAATTTTTGGGAACTTTTGCAATCTAAAGACATTGAATCTTGCAAATAACCAATTTGAAGGGGGGATTCAAGAGCTTTTGGGTGGTTTATCAAGTTGTCCCAATAGTGAATTAGAGTCACTAGATTTGTCTTCTAATAATAAGCTGAAAAGCCAATTGCCTGCCTCATTAGGGATGCTACACAACTTGAAGTATCTTAACCTCTACAATAATGATATGAGTGGGTCCATTCCTAAAAGTTTGGGGCAACTCTCCGAGCTTGTTCACCTAGATCTATCTTTTAACTCATGGGAAGGGTCTTTAACAGAAGCCCATTTCACAAATCTCACAAGATTGAAATACTTTTCATTAGGCAAAGTCACCCGAAACCCAACTCTACCTATTCCTCTCATTTTCAATGTGTCTTATGAGTGGGTTCCTCCTTTCAAGCTGCACAAAATTAACATTGGGAACTGTAAAGTAGGTCCTGCCTTCGGGGCATGGCTTCAATCTCAAACTGAACTTGTCTTTGTCAAACTTGCTGCCACTGGAATCTCAGATTCTATACCCGAGGATTGGTTCATGAAACTATCATCCCAAGTTGAGTATTTGGATTTGACTTCCAACCAAATCCATGGAAAGCTTCCCTTGCAATTGAAACTCCCAAATGCACTGGTTTTGGATTTGAGTCATAACCAATTTGATGGACCAATTCCACTTTGGTCTGGTGACAATATGGTTCGGATTAAGCTTGAAACTAATTCATTTTCTGGCACCATTCCATTGAATTTTGACCAAAAGTTTCCAAAATTGGAATCATTTTATCTTGCTGAAAATCATTTGCATGGCACCATTCCACCTTCCATTTGCAACATGAAACACTTGTGTACCCTTTCTCTGAGAAACAACAAGCTATCAGGAGAATTTCCAAAAGCATGGAGCCTGTTGCGTAATATAATGATTGTAGATGTTGCATACAACAATCTCTCAGGCAATCTTCCCAGTTCAATGGGTGACTCGGGTTCTCTTTTCATGTTGAAGATGAACAACAACAATTTCGAGGGTGAAATTCCGTTTTCCTTGCAAACCTGCACTTCTTTGAGGAACATTGATCTTGGGAATAATAGATTCACTGGTGAAATACCTCCATGGATAGGATCAACTGCTTTCTTGGTGTCAACCCTAAGGCTGAGATCCAATTTTTTAAGTGGAACTCTTGATCTCTCACTCAACCACCTTTCAGGACAGATTCCTCAAAGTCTTTCATCCTTGACCTTCTTGTCTAACTTGAACTTGTCCTATAACAACTTGAGTGGTGAAATTCCTTTGGGAAACCAACTTCAAGCACTCCCTGATTCATCCATTTATGAGGGCAACCCATTCCTTTGTGGATTTCCTCTTTCAATCAAGTGCTTCGAAGATGGCAATTCTACTCCCAAGGATCCAAAAGACAATGACAATGAAGATGGAAATGAGAAGTTCTGGTTCTATGTGAGTATGGCACTCGGTTTTATCGTAGGCTTTTGGGGTGTTTTTGGCACATTAATTGTGAAGAAGTCATGGAGGTACGCTTATTTTCGATGGTTTGATGAAATCAAAGATAAGGCAACGCTATGTGTGCGTCGTTTGGTTTGCCAAGAGTGATTTTCAAAAGGGATTGTATATGCAAGTCATCTCAGCTATTGCATGGACAAATGAAGACCATTTCTATTTTGGTAGTATTATTGATGATATAAAAACCCTGGTTACAAATCAGAATGGGTTTAGTTTTTTTGTTTACTAGGTGTCAAGCCAATGAGGTAGCGCACCGTGTTGCGCGGAGTGCATTGTCTTATGATTCTAAAGCATCTAATCCCTAATTGATAATTCATTATTCATGGAAGCAACAACTCCAAAATATTATCACAACAACAATAACATGTTAAAGATTAGCTTATTTTCTTCCCTTTCTCAATATTGAATGAGTAGCTGCCTTATATTTAAAGAACTCCCGAATTCTCTAGGCCTTACATTGAATGAATATACATGTAGAGACATGAAGTTGAAAACTTTTCATGTACATATGTTCACTGTTCCATGTCATGTTTCATGAAAGCATTTTATAACCTTAAGACAATCATGCATTTGGGGAACTAATAATCATTCTTTTTGTACAATGAATCGAAATCCAACAAAATTATAACCAATGAAACAAAGAGAAATAATTATTCATAACACTTAAACAGTAACCATATAATAAAATACATAGAAGCATGGCAAGCATATGCCCACCTAACCACTTTCTCCGAAATGGAATTACAATTTGAGCAGCCAAAAAGTAGACTACGTACAGTTCAGTCAAGAAACTGCATTATCGGCCAAGGTAGGTCTCTCACGTTCTTTGTAATTTCAATTCAAGGTATAGTAAAGAGAGAGAGAGAGAGAGAGAGAGAGTTGATGACAATGATAGTGACGAGTCAAGAGAATGCATTTAACTCCCATCTACTGATTGGATTGGATTTTCAAACTTGCAAAATGGGTTTGATTTTTATGTGCTAGCTCCTTTGGCTAGCCTTCTATATATGTGTGTTTTGTCTTTCGAAAATATTATTAGATTAAATTCCAATTTGGACTCTTGTTTTGACACAATAATAGTTGTCTTTGCAAAATCTCTTGTACCTAATCAGATACCTAAAATCAAATACAACCACTTGCACTTGCAGCAGACAAATCCCCCCGGCAAACCAATTGTTTTGACGACAGTGTTTCTTGGGGTCCAGTAGGAGCACGTCCTGTTTCCTATCTGGCTACCACACCTTTATTAGTTTGAATTAGTCCTGGCTTCCTTTAGGCTCTACAATCCAAATACATTAGAAAAATATAAGTCATTCAGCAAAGACCAAACTAATTTCATCACTATGATTTGTAAAAAGCAGCGAAATTGATGACAAACCAGCCGTTTGAATGATCTACTTTGACCAGCATTCTTTGCATTCTCCACACCGGGCTTAGAACGATCAAGACCTGAGAAAAACCAAGTAAAACTAAAATATATGGATTTTACACATTTGGAAATGAAAAACAGCACAGAGGATGACCCTGGATAATTAAGCAGTTTCTCAGAAATTGAATTACAGTTTAGTCAAGAAAATGCATTTAACTCCACCTACCTTATTGCACTTGCTTGGAAACAAAAAACCATTTGTGGTGTGAAAGTAGCAAATAAAAACAGAGTAATGCTTCCCCTGAAAAAACAGAGAAATGTTTTAGACATAAGCATTGATGAGAATGATAGTGATGAGGAGTCAAGAATTGCAAACTTGAAAAATGGGTTGAGGACCTGGACTCGACCATTTATTTTGGGTTTGATTTTTCCGCACGCTAGCAGCCTTGTATAAATGTAAGAGTTCTCTTAGTCTGCTCATCGGCATCAAATTGAGAAAACTTGATTCGAAAAATGAAAATCTATCACCTGAACAATATTTCTGACTTTTTGCTCCTTTTGTTGTGCTTTTTGGGGGATATTGGACTTGCAAGCACTGGTGTGAAAGTGAAACCAATATGCATTGAGGAAGAGAGGAAAGCACTTGTGAGCTTTAAAGAAGATCTTACTGATCCGTCTCGAAGGCTTTCTTCTTGGGTGGGTCATGATTGCTGCCAGTGGGAACGGATTTCATGCAACAACTGCACCGGTCATGTTGCCAAGATCGATCTCCGAAATACATATCCACATTCCACGGCTGATGAAAAGTGGGACGACATGGAGTATGAACAGTCTTGTTTGGGGGGTAAGATAAACTCTTCTTTGCTTAGCTTGAAACACTTGTATTACCTGGACTTAAGTTGGAATAATTTTGAAGGGATTCACATTCCTAAGTTCTTTGGGGAGCTTAAAACTCTGAGGTATCTCAATATCTCCTTTGCAGTGTTTGCGGGATAGATTCCCCCTTCTCTTGGTAATTTGTCAAACTTGAACTATCTTGATGTATCTTATTCTCTTTACTCCTCATTCGAAATACATTCCAAAAATTTGAATTGGCTTTCTCATCTCTCTTCCCTAAAATACCTCAATCTCAATAGAGTGGATCTTAGCAGCGCAAGATTTACAAATTGGTTGCATGTTGTTAACATGCTTCCTTCCTTACTGGAGTTACACTTATCTCATAGCTTGATTGAAAGCCTTCCACTATCACTGCATAGGGTTAACTTCACCTCACTTTTGGTCCTTGATGCATCATATAATTCCCTTAATACTTCTTCATTTCCCATCTGGCTTTTCAATCTTACTAGCCTTAGAAAACTTGATCTAAGCTTGAATTCTTTCACTAGTCCTTTTCCAGGTGAATTTGCAAGCCTTAAATCTCTGGATTACCTAGATTTGTCTGGTTGTGGCCTGGAAGGCCAATTGCCGACCTCCTTAGGAATGTTAAAAAGTTTGCAGTATTTGCACCTATCTAATAATCGTATAAACGGGTCCATTCCAGAAAGTCTAGGACAACTCTCCAAGCTAGTTGAACTAGATTTATCTTCCAATCCTTGGGAAGGATTTCTAACGGAAGCCCATTTCGCAAGTCTCACCAGATTGAAACATCTTTCAATAAGGAACAATAGAATAGAGAAGCTCATGTCTCTCGTTTTCAACGTGGCTTATGATTGGGTTCCTCCTTTCAAGCTCCATAAAATTGAGATTACCAACTGCAAAGTAGGTCCTGGTTTTGGTTTATGGCTTCAATCTCAAACTGCTGTGCGCAACAATTTTAGAAAATTTAGAAATTATGTACTTTCTCAGAGCCACATATATATGTGATCACAATATAGTGGCCCTCCATCGGAAAGTGACTCTAGCTAGCATAATTATTACATTGATCAACTAACAAAATGTCATTAGAACATGTAAGATCAACATTAATAAAGCTTAGTTCACTAGTTATATGATTTATCAACGAGTAAGCAAGCTTTTTTTTTTTTTTTGGACGAAATAAGCTTTCATTGAAAAGGAGAAGAACAAACAGACAGTCACTTATAGAGCATTAGAAACTCAGGGAAAAAAACTAAACTCGCAGAGTCTAGAAACGCAATTTTTCCCCACAGAGACAAAAGCACAAAAAAACAATTAAGGGGGACTAGGGAGTCCATCAGAAGCCAAAACCCGCACCAGGGACGGAGGTGGCTGGTTAGCCCATCCTTGCGGACACACCGCCCTTAAACCTATCGCTGCAGTCGCATGAGCCGCACGATTTGCTCCACGAGGGATCCAACACCAATCCACAGCAGAAAAACCTGCACTCAGGCGCCTAATCTCCTCAATGAGAGGGAGAATAGTCCAGGCCTTCGTGCAAATGTTACCCTTGACAATATCAATGAGGACTTTTGAATCTGATTCCATCACTAACCTTGAGTATCCTCTCAGTCTTGCACATCTCAGAGCCTCGATGGCAGCTTCCGATTCTGCATTCAAGGCACTGTTGCAGTAACGCTTACTAGCAAAACCATAGCAAAATTCCTTTTCCTGATTTCTAATCACCACACCCAAGCCTGCCTCATGGTTTTTCCAAGCAGCATCGAAATTAATCTTAATGGCTCCGTTTACAGGGGGTTTCCAGGTACAATCGGAGGGAGTGAAAACACCATCCCCATTCCTGTTGGATACAGCTTGACGCCTCATCGCCTCAAATTCCTCTGCAGCTGAAACAGCATACTCCACCACTTTCCTGGGATCGATTGTTATGCCCTCAAAAATAAATTTGCACCTTGTTTTCCATATCTCCCACGAAAGAAAACTAACCAGGGACAAAACCCAAACTCTTTCGGATTTGGAAAACACCCGACTATTTAATAGCCCATTGAACCAGCAATCAAATGTGGTGAGACTTTGGGGGTTCACTCTGTAATTTAAGGGGGAGCCAAACCAGACAGCTTGGGTCCATGGACACAGAAAAATAGTGTGTTCCTCAGATTCTTCATACTGATTGCAAATGGGGCATATTGGAGATGAAATAATCCTTCTGCGATACAAATTTAGTCTGGTAGGCAAGGCCCTACCCATCATGCGCCAGAGAAAAAACTTTATCTTTGGGAGAGTGGGAATCGCCCAAATTCCTTTCCAGACCCCTCTCTCAATCACAAGGGACGATCTGTTATTCCCCCCAATGGAAGAAACAGAGACCACCTGCAAATTGTAACCAGACTTCACCGAATACAAACCGGATTTGTTCCAGGGCCACACAATTCTGTCGTCCCTATGCAAGTTGCCAATGGGGACCTCACTGATAAGCTTAATGGTTTCCTGGCTCACATACTGAGCTAGAGCTTGAGTATTCCATGTTTTGGTATGACCATCTAAGATCTCACTAACCATTTGGGGAGCATTCAAAGGCACAGAGTTCATCGGCATGACAAAACCATGATGAGGAGGGAGAAGCCAACGGTCCTGCCAAATCCTAGTACTGAAGCCATTGAAAACTTGATGCTTGATGTTTTCCTTAATAACTTCTCTGCCTTCCAATAAACTAGCCCAACCCCAAGAAGGACGGTGACCAGTCACGGCATTCAAAAAATCACAGTTCGGAAAATACTTGGCCTTAATGATCTTTGCCCAATAGGAATTTGGATCATGAATCAGTCTCCATGCTTGTTTACCAAGGAGGGCTAGATTAAAAGTGTTGAGGTCTCTGAAATCCAACCCCCCCTCTGATTTAGGAAGACATAATGTAGACCATGACTTCCAATGAATCTTTGCATCAGAATCCTGTTTTCCCCACCAGAACTTGGCCAGCTCACTATTAATTTCATCACATAGACCTTTTGTAAATTTGAAACAATTCATGGGGTACGTAGGGACAGCAGTGGCTACTGCTTTAATAAGAACTTCCTTCCCAGCTAACGAGAGCGAGCTCTGTTTCCAGCCCGAAATCTTATCCTTAACACGCTCCTTAACATAATTCATAGCTGCCTTCTTTGATCTCCCCCACATAGTAGGCATCCCCAGATAATTCCCGGGGTTATCCGTTCCCTCCATTCCTAGAATAGAGCCAATTGTAACCTTCTTCTCATCAGGAGTATTACTGCTGAAGTAGAGACAAGATTTTAGATGATTAACTAACTGTCCTGAGGCAGCACAGTAGCGGTTCAGCAGATGCATAAATCTTCGGCAGTTAGTCTCTTCAGCGCTGAGGAAGAAAAGGGAGTCATCTGCAAAAAGAAGGTGAGAAAGAACAGGGCTTCTTCGTGCCAATTTGATGCCTTTGATCCATCCTCCTGTGATACATTTAGTAAGATTTTTCGAGAATACATCGCTTACCAGCAAAAAAAGGTAAGGAGACAAAGGGTCCCCTTGTCGAAGCCCACGGGAAGGCTTGAAAGTCGGGCCAGGTTTTCCATTAATGAGCACAGAAAAGGAGACAGAGGAAACACAAGCCATGATCAATCGAACCCAGTGATCACTGAATCCCATTTTGTAAAGAAGCGCCTCTAGAAAGTCCCACTCAACTCGGTCATAAGCTTTATTCATGTCGACTTTCAAACCCAGCTCGTGTCTACCCCCACCAGTCTTGAGCTTCAAGTGATGATAAGCTTCATGAGCAATGGAGATATTATCTTGAATCATCCGGTCCTCAACAAAAGCGTTCTGGTTTGGACTGATCAGATTTGGGAGGAGACTTTTTAGTCTGCTGGCAAGCAGTTTAGCCAAAATCTTATACGCATAGTTGCAGAGACTAATCGGTCGGTACTGCTCAGGCGCAACGGGATCAAGAACTTTGGGAATCAGGGCTATATGAGTTCTATTTAGCACCTTAATTTGATCATTCCCATTGAGAAAGCCAGAAGCAGCACCACTTACAATGTCTTTAACTATTGGCCAAAATTTTTGGTAAAAAACACCAGGAAAACCATCAGGGCCCGGGGCCTTCAAAAGACCCAATTGAACTACAGCTTGGTGGACTTCATCTTCTGTCACCGGGGCCAGGAGGAGCATATTCATCTCCTCCGTAACCACACAATCAACATTACCTAGGACATCGCTCCAAGCTCTGGGACCCCCAGATGAGAACAGCTTCATATAAAAGTGTCTGAAAACATGCTGAATATCATCCTCTCTCACCTTCCAATTACCTTGATCATCATTAATTCCGTGAATTTTGTTTCTTTGTCTCCTTTGTATAGTTGACAAGTGAAAGAAACGAGTGTTTTTATCACCCGCTTGTAACCAGTTGACTCTTGATCTCTGCTTCCAGTACATCTCCTCATTTCTCCATAGCTCCCCGAGAGCACCTTTAATCTCAATCTGTCGAGGGCGTGAAGATATGGAGGAAGAAACATTTTGCAAATTGGATAGCTCCTCAGATAGAGCCGAAATTTGGTGCCTTCCATTTGGAAAACAACTCTTACTCCACTGTTTCAGCCTGAATCTGCAATTGTTTAAGTTGGTATCCCACTGCCTAATCTTTGGCATGTTGTTGTTAATCCAACATTCTTTGACCAGGTCTTCACACCCTTGGTGTTCTGCCCAAAAGGCCTCAAATCTGAAAAGCTTTTTCCCCCGGGGGAGCTCAGGAAGGCACTCCACCAAAATAGGGCAGTGGTCAGAGCCAATTCTCATAAGGTGGAGGACACAGGAATTAGGCCACTTTAAGAGCCACTCAGCATTAACAATTCCTCTGTCAAGACGTTCCTTTACCAGCCCCACTTCTCCACAATTTTTCTCCCAAGTGAAATTGTACCCTTTGAAACCCAGGTCCAACAACTGGTTTGATTCCATAAACTCCAAAAGGAATCTTCGTCTTCTGAAATCAAAAACAGCTCATCCTTCTTTTTCAGATTGCCATATGACCTCATTTAAATCACCCACCACTAACCAAGGGTTACTATCATTCCACCTAAAATTCTCCAACGCACCCCAAAAATTCTCTTTTTCACTCATATAAGGGACTCCATACATCC